CCTTATGAACCTTTGATAAGTTATAGATTATTATTTTCATATCTTACATCGTCCTCTGTTGCCCCTTATCCACTTTTCCATCCCCCTGGGAGGGGGGTGTAGTTTGATCCTTGTGATCCATTCCCTCTTTCTCCCCGCACTCTCCCCTAATCCTCCTGGTATTTCTACTCTCATTGTTGGCCCTGAGGGGTTTATCTGTCCTAGATTCCCTGTGTTGTGGGCTCGTATCTGTAGCAGTGTGCATGTTCTGGTCGAATATGATTTGTAAGGTAGAATTGGATATCTTAAAATACCCATTGCACAGTCTTTACCACAAATGTATCAAATCAGAATATATGGGGAGTAGCTTTTGGACATCAACATGTTTTATAAAGTTCCTTAGGTGATTCTAATATACTGTCAAGGTTGAGAATCCCAAGGGGCAATGGGGATGAGGGCAGATGTCATGGAACAAGAAAAAGTGCAGCATGTATAGAATATTCGTGGCTCTAATCTGCTATGTGTGAAACGCCAAGCATATACTCCATGAGGGGGAGCTAGAAGAGCAGACTGAAGCTTAAAGGAGGGCATGATCATTATGGGTTGTGTTTTAGGGTCTGAAAGAGACCACAATCTCAAACACAGTTTAAGGAGAACATTTATTAAGTCTTAAGAGTGACAGATGACATAAAGGCAGACATAACAGGATGAGTATGGCCGTTAGCATGAGGTCAAAATGGTGTTCAGGGACTCAAAGGTGGGGTGCTAGTTAAATAAGGCATGGAACTAAAGAAATTGTCATAAACTCATGATTGGTGGCAGGTCAATACATCAGTTACGCGTGGGACTGCAGGAGCAGGAAGAGGACCAGGATTGGAATACGTACATTAGGTGAGATAGAAGGGCTTACAAGACTGGTCCAAGGCCCTCTGACCAAGGCAGTCAGGATGAGACTGATAGGTCAGGACTCATGACTTTGCGACGCCTTGTATCGTCCCCAGTACAGTGACCTTCTTTAAGGACACCTCCAGGCAAGCCACTAAGAGAGACTGTTTTCTCCCTGAGCTGGATAGAGAGGGGTGGAGATAATCTACTTTCCTAGGCACTCTGCCTGAGGGCAAGAGTATCTAAATCCTTGATTAATGATCTGAAATAATTCATTGGAGGCTGAATCAAGTGGGAACCCTGCAAATGGATTTTGGGCTGTCACTGCCATCCATAGCCTTTTGTAAACTGGGCTGCTCAGAATTTAAACTCTAATACAGTTGTGTTCTAGGGGGGAAAACCCACTGCCACTAAGTTGATTCCAACTCATAGTAACCCTATAGGACAGGGTAGAACTGCCTTAGGTTTGAGATGGTAACTCTCTGTGGGTGCAGAAAACCTAATCTTTCTGGAGCAGTGGTTTTGAACTGCCAACCTTGTGGTTAGTGGCCCAATGTGTAACCCACTATGCCATCAGGGCTCCTTCTAGGGGAAAAAGAAACCCCACATTTAAATGTTTTATAGCAACCTCTTTTAAATTTTAAAACAGGAAAAAGATGAGACAAAGACAAATGATCTAGATGAGGGAAAAGATCAGCAAAAATGCAGAGTGGTGTCCAAAGTTTTCACAGCCATGTAGCTACTTCAACAGGACACATTAACAAAGGAAATGTCACAGTCATGATTAGTGGCAGACCAATTCATCACAGTTGTAGGTGGGACTATAGAATTGGGTGTGGGGTGGGGTGGGAAGAGTGGGGACCCAACCATGAATGAGTTAGACCCACCAATACATATTAGAAAAGTTTACAGAATTGGCTCTGAAGCCCTCTGACCATCTGCATCTGGGCATGACTCATCACCATGTGACCCTCTTCCCTCAATTTCCTCCAAGGGTGTGGCTCAGGCAAGTTCCTGAGGGTGGGACTCTCCCTCCCCAGGCTGGCCTGGAAGTCTTAGCCAACACACGCTGCCTGAGCTTTTTCCACTGGAGATCAATGGTCAGAAAGAATTCAGTGGAAGTGGAGGCTGAGTCTATGTGTAAATGGATTTAGGATTCCCATAGCCTTCTACCAGGAGCCCTGGTGACGCTATCAGGTAAGTGTTGGACTGCTAATCACAAGGACAACAGTTCAAACCTACAACCTGTTCAAAGGAGAAAGGTAGGATTGGCTTTTCTCCTCAGAAGTTGTATAGAGGGTCACTATGAGTCGAAATTGATTCTATGGCAGTGGGTTTATAGCTTTCTGCAATCTAGGGCTTAATATACAGGTGTGGGTTGCCTAGCGAGCACAACATTGCCCGACTGGCAAAAAAACAAAAAAAAAAACCCAAAATGGCAAGTGACAAGGCCAACTGTGGCGCAGTAATGAAACCCTTATGCATTTTGTTGAAGTATCTAGGCTGCTGTGGTCTGTCTGTATTGCAAGTTGGCATTACATAGCCCGATTAAGTTTTTTTGATTGCCTAGAGAGAAGGCACTCTGGTGACACAGTGGTTAAAGTGCTTGGCTGCTAACCACAATGTTGGTGGTTCAAACCTAACAGCTGTGCCACAAAAGAAATGTTTTCAGGAATGGGATAGTTCATTCCTTTGTCTTAATGGCTGTAAATACTAGAGGGAAATCAGAGATAGTATCTATTTTTTTCAGTGACTATGATTATTAGGGATTATAAATGTCAAATGCCTAGTATAGTGCCTGACATAAAGAGCTAATAAAATGAAAGCTGTTATTGTTGCTATCTCACCCAATGATTCGAATATGCTCCATTGAGCTATGTACAAGTACATACAGTGATAACGGTTGTGGAACTCAATTCATTCCAAATTCATGTTCAAGCATCAAAAAGTTTGAGAGCTGAACACATTTCCATAAGAAATAGTGGAAAACCAAATAATTGGTTCCGAGATCCCAAAATTACACTTATAAATTCACTATGGAGGCTTTTAGCCTTCTCACATATTGTTGTTTCGGATATGCAAACACTGTCCACTTGTTTCTGATTTATCCAAATTAACAGTAATTTTTCAACCTCTTCCATGGTCTGGGTTCTTTGCTTCCTGGTTAATAAAATTTTGCACCGTTGGCTACATTCGCTGCTTTAATCACATTTTCTTTTCAGAAATGTTAATAATGTCGATCTCCATGTCCTATTCATCCACCAAATCAGACAAGTGGTCACCTGATTCAAATTTCCCCATGATTGCTTTCTTTAACGCTGTCGTGGTTCTCACTTTTCCTCTTAGCCTTTCTGTTGGTATCACTTTCTTTGGCGCCATGGTGATGATATTTTACCAAATAAAGCACGCGCGCATAAAAAAAACACAACAATGAGAGTTTTAATGCACCAACACAAGCACTCTATGTTCTCTGAGTGAGGGCTGTGCTTAGTCTGGAGCATCACTCCTGTGTGTTGGAGACAAGCGAGTGACTCACTCTTGTCCAGTAAAGGTGTTTTCAAATCAGATTTTGTGTTCAAGTCGAGAGCCTAGTAAGGAACATTGAGCAGATTCTTTTTTTAAATTTTTTTAGCAGATTCTTTTTGAACCTTGCTGCTTGAGTGGTGGAAAGAAGTTTGAGCTTGGAGCCATTCCACAAATAAAGTCTCACTGTATTGGAGGCCAATTGTCTTATTCTTTCTTTCTTTTTTTTCCATTTTATTGGGGGCCCTTATAGCTCTTGTAACAAGCCATACATCAATTGTATAATGCACATTTGAACGTAGGTTGCCATCATCCTTTTCAAAACATTTTCTTTCTACTTGAGCTCTTGATATCAGCTGTTTTTACCACCCTCCCACTCTCATGAACCCCTGATAAACTATTGTTTTCATGTCTTGTTATGCTTATATGTTATTTTTTCTAGACTTAAGCATTCGTCAGTATTTTCTCTCTGGTAACAGCTGACACACATCTAATAAGCAGACTTTCAACCTCCTTCGTGACTCTTCCCTGAGCCTTTCCAACTCATCTACTGCTCTTATCATTTCTTCAGGGTCCAAGTGCCTAACAGGAGTGTCCTCTTTAAATCTCTGGCCAGGCTGGGCCAGCCCCCCTCTAAGGTATCCTCTTCTTTCCTGGTTAACACCTTCTCAGGCTCTCCTCCTGCCTCCAGAGGCACCTCTTCTGAAGGGTTGAAGGGTGATCCTTCTCTGCCTTTGGCATGTTCTGTGAGTTTCCTTCATTTTTGTCTCAAGATGTTTGCATGTTGGGTATTTTTCTATTAACTCCTTTTGGAATAAATTGCTCCTTCAAACAACCTGAAGGGATCCGGGACACTTCACTTCGCTGCCAATATGCAGCTTCACCTGTTTGACTCTTATAGCATCACTTACATTCTAGGTTAGCACTAGCAAGCAGACCACGCCTCCCGAGGGCTAAAACCTCGAGAATTTCCCGAGCGGATATCGCCCTGTCTTCCTGTGAGGGGAGACTAAGTTCCTAGGCAGAAGTGTGGAGAGCTAGTGATGGAGAATCTTGAAATTCTGCATTGGTCTGTGAGGGGTTGCCCCTTTCGAACACGAACTCTCCTGCAAACATTTGGAGATGACTAATTCCTGAAAACCACAGTTAAAGAGGGTCAAAGATCCCTAAGATCCCTTACATTTTTTCCCCAGTATTTGGGCGACGGGTGAGGTACTGGTCGCCATCTTGATATCAAATGGTAGACAAACTGCCACCGGCGTCGCACGGTAACCACGGAGACAACCTCGTTCCTCCCATTCCGCCCTCCCAACCTCCTGGGTCGTAAACTACAATTCCCATCAGTCGGTTTTCCCTACCTGACGGAGAGTGGTCTAGACTTGACTTGTCGGCAACCGTAACCCTGCCGCAGTGAACTGCGGGAGTCGCAGTTCGTGGGGTAGTCTCACTTTTTGCCGCCGGAAGCTCCAGAACTACAAATCCCGTGAGGCAGCGGTTTTGCGCACGCTCACGGAATGCCGATCCCTCTGAGGGCCCCTAGCCGGAGCCTGAGAGTGAGGAGAGGGCGGGGGAAAGGAAGAGGAGGCGGGATCCAGGCGCTGCGTTGGCTGCGGCCTGGCACCAAGGGGGCGGCTCCGGCAGAGACCAGACCCAGCGGCCCCGGGCGATTATGGACCCAGCCGAGGCGGTGCTGCAGGAGAAAGCGCTCAAGTTTATGGTGAGGAGAAGGCGCAGGCCAGGGAGCGCTGGAGAGGCGGTGGCGTTAGCGGCGTCTCTGAGGCTCAGTCTGGGCTGCCCCGTCCGCTGGGGG